GGCGCCTCAGCGGGGCGGTGTCGCTGCTCGCGGCTTTTCTCTTCCCCCCTTTCCCCGCCAGGCAGCTGATAAGTTCCGACCTCGAAACGTTCCGGGCCGCGGAAGGCCAGGCCTGGGACACCCGGCTGGCAGGGCTCGGGATGGGAAAGGAGCCGGGGCCGGGTGGGTCCCTGCCGGGACCGGGTTTGCTGCGGGCCTGGCCTGGGGCCGGCGCCAGCCTTCCCTCCCGGCGCTAAGCAGGACGCATAGGACCTGCTCTCAGGCACCGGGAGGGCGAAGGGCCGGCTCAATAGCGATTTGTAACGCATCCTCGAGCTGGAGAGGAGTAACCTGAAGTAAAAGATCCTTAGCAGAGATGCATGGCAGCTGTGCCTGTTAACTGACGTTGTAAAGCATAAGTGATAAACCACCATATTTGTGAACGTGCTTAGTTGTAAAGTGAACGCCCGCGGTACCACAGCTGGTAAAAATCAACCAAATCAGCCCCAAATAAGCAATGCATTTGCCTCCCGTTTCGTGGCACCTCGGATGTGCTTATCTGAACTCCTTTCTTAAGTAGTCTTTTTAATAATGAGCCTCCAGATACTTAAATTTTAACTGACCCAATGGAAAATGTTGCAATGAGATATTTAAAATAGTACTTTGTTAGAAAGTTTGCCCTTTTTAAACTCAGTTTGAACCATCAGCAATTCTTCAGAAGAGCTGATAGCTCAGGCTGAGAGCTGCACATACAACTTTGTATGAAAGCGCTCTCTCGGAGGAGAAGCTCATATTCAGCAACGTAAGCTCATTTTAATGATGTTCTGTATCAACATTTCTGCTCTGTTCTTAGCAATGTTAATGCAAATCCTCAACAGCTCAGTAAAATAATAATGCAGATTTTTCTTTTTAATTTCCATCAGTGCAGCAAAGCTCTACTTAGTTTTAGGACATTGCAAGGCATGGAGATTAAAAAGGGCTTTCAGAACAGCAATAAACAAAAGCTAGCTAATAAAATAAGCAGTCTGTTTCTTTGTACAACAGTCTTGCTTTTCTTTGTCTTTAAACAGCTGTTGTTTGGGTGTTTACCTTGACATGCTCAGTGAACTCAGCTCCCCACCACATTTTCCAGTGTGCCTGTGAAAAATGGGGCTATAGCCTCACAGTTTAAAATGGAGGTGTCGTGGGTTAAGCCCAGGTGGTAACTCAGAACCACTCAGCCACTTGGTCACTCCTCTGCTTCTTCCTCCCCCGGCTCCCGGAGAGATGGGGAGGAGAATCAAAAGAATGTAACTCCCACTGGTTGAGATCAGAACAGTCCAGTAACCAAGGTCTAACACAGACCACTGCTGCTGCCACCAATAATAATAATAATGATAAGGGAAATAACAAGAGAAGAGAATACAACTGCTCACCATCTGCCGACCGATATGCAGCCTGACACGAGCAGCAATGTGGGCCTTCCGGGTAACTGCCCCCAGTTTATATACTGGGCATGACGTGCTGTGGTATGGAATACCTCTTTGGTCAGTTTGGGTCAGGTGTCCTGTCTCTGCTTCCTCCCAGCTTCCCCTCCGCCCTGGCACAGCATGAGACTCATAAAGTCCTTGGTTAGAGTAAACATTACTTAGCAACAACTAAAAACATCGGTGTTATCACCGCTGTTCCCAGCCAAAACACAGCACTGCACCAGCCACTAAGAAGGAGAAAAATGACTGCTACTGCTGAACCCAGGACAGGAGGCTAAAGCTCCTCATGTATTTTCTTTTGCTTATCCTTTACTGTGTTATCTTCTCTAGAAGACCAATTTTCTATTTACTGTTATTATGATGCACACAAGGAATGCCAAGCCTACACAGGACACTTAATAAATCTTATCAGCCTTGTTCCAAAGAACAGCTTAATTTAGTTTAAAGCCTTTTCACACCGAGCAGATCAGAAATACATACTGTTACAGACACATTGAGTTATGCTGGGGTAAATTCACTGATGAATTTCTTCTTGTTGACAAACCCTAACCCTGCCTCTGGGGTCTCAAGTGTTCGTGTTACACTTCTCATTGCACATCATTTCTCTGGCTTAAACCACGACATCAACAAACCTGACGTGTACAAGATTTTCTCTGCTTTCCTCTTCTGTGTTCAGGCCACCTGACACGCAACACTGTACACTGAGCTAGAAGCACATGTTTCTATCCATCAAACAGCAGTTTGCCCAGGAACTAGATGTTGCAACAAAATAATCCATAAGTCTACTTTGTATAAATACGAAGGGTTTAGTCCAGCCACCTGTATCCTGCATGCTAAGAAAACAGCCAAGAAAGCCAAGAGCATCTTGGCCTGTATCAGCACCAGTGTGTAAGCAGAGCCAGGGCAGTGATCATTGCCCTGTGCTGGGCACTGGTGAGGCCGTACCTCCAATCCTGTGCTCATTTCTAGGCCCCTCACTACAAGAGAGCCACTGAGGTGCTGGAGCGGGGACAGAGAAGGGCAACGGAGCTGGTGCAGGGCCTGGAGCACAAGTGTGATGGGGAAAGGGCTGAGGGACCTGGGGGGTTCAGTCTGGAGAAGAGAAGGCTCAGGGGGAACTTTAACGTGCTCTACAACTGCCTGACAGGAGGATGGAACCAGGAGGGGGCTGCTCTCTGCTCCCAAGGAACGAGGGATGGGAGAAGAGTAAACAGCCCCCTGCTGCACCAGGGGAGGTTTAGATGGAGATGAGGAACAATTACTTCCCCAAAGGGTGCTCAGGGCAGGGCTGGAGTCACCATCCCTGGAAGCGTTCACACACTGTGTTGATGAGGCCCTCAGTGACATGGATTAGTGGTGGCCTCGGCAGTGCTGGGGAAGGGTTGGACTTGGTGATCTCAAAGACCTTTTCCATCCTAGCTGACTCCTTCTAGGCAAGCCAGAAGCGGCGCACCTTTCAACGGGCACTGCCTCACACCTGAGCACTGCCGGACCCTCAGCTCAGGGCGGGAAAACCGGGAGGCGGAGCCTGCGGGAGGCCCCGCCCCGCGCCTGCGCACCGTCCCGCCCCGGGACCAATTTAACGCTGTCGCCGGTCGTGGGGGGTGTGTTGGCTGGTGGCGCTTGCGTCGTGCTGCGTTTTGCGCATCCTTTCGCGGCGCTCTGGGAGGCATGCGACGATGCTGCGCGGCGGGCTGCGAAGAGCGCGCTGGTGTGGCGGGCTGTGGAGGAGCCTGTGTGCCGCGGGTGCCGGCGGCAGTACCGCACCGCACTGCCTCAGGGCTCTGAGCGCTGCCTTCTCTAGCAACGGCGGCGGGGTGCGCAGCGGAGGCGCTTCCCCGGCAGGTAGCGGTGCCGCGCCCTCCTCCTCAGTCTCTATTCCGTCCCTTTGCCCGTTACATCCCGCTGTGGTTCTGAGGCGGTGCTGCGAGGGTCGGAGCCGTTTTGCTGGTGGGGGGCAGCGGGATTTGAAGCACCTGAGGGAGGGTCGGGCTGGCTGCAACCCCTCGCACCGCGGGCCGTCTGTGGGGTCTTGAGAAGGGGGGGTCGTCGCTGGGGAGAGGAGCGGGTGGTGAGCGGGGTCCTTCGTGTGTGTAGCTCCCTGCTGGGCTGCGGGGTTGAGGTGAGTGCGGCCGCCGCTGGACTTTGCGCTGCGCCGGATCGTGTGGGGCAAGGAGTGAGATGGGTAATGAGGGAAGCTGTGGGCGGATGCCTGCTGTCCGGTTCTAGGCCTGGTGTTTCAAAGGTTACAACACTCTTGACTTCATGCAGTTCTGCGTTTGTTTGAATGAAGAAAAATAAAACTGAGCTGCAACCAAGTCATTTTCCTCTGGCTTTCAGCTTTCTTGTTACTTAACAAAGGAAAACTGCATTGATGAAAAATTGCAGTTAACAAAATTGCATTAGTTTCATTAGAATCAGAGGACGTTTAGAGTTACTCTAAACTCTAAGATGTGTGTACCAAGTGCATCCCTAATTGAAGTGTACCTATTGATAGTGAGTTGATCCATAGCAGTGATGGACTTGGATCCTAACTTGATGCATGTATGAACTAAAAAAATACCAGTTGTGCAATCAAAATCAAAATAGAGACAATAGACTTAAGGATGAGATGTCCTCTGGAACTGGGTGTAATTGGAATGGGATCTATTCACTGTTAATTTGCAATTGTGCAAAAATCATAGAATGGTTTGGTTGGAAGGGACTTTCAAGGTCATCTAGTTCCCATCCACTGCCATAAGCAGGATACTTTCAGCTCTCTTTTCAGTGCCCTCTTCTATCACTTTGAAGTTGTGGCACTTTTTTTTTTTTTGGGGGGGGGGGGGTAGTACATTAAAATTAACTTATGTTTTACAGAATGATCTCTCTGTTGATCATTTACTGGCATTATGTTAGACCAACCTCAGAACAATCTGCTGAGCTTAACTGAAGTTTAAACTGTATTGGGAGTAGAGTGGATCTATTTTTTCTTCATTAAAGTTATAAATAAAAAAATCATATGACTGTAGTTTGCAGTAAGTTCAAGCATCTTGGGAATAAAGAGTTTATGAACAAGGTACAGTTAGAGCTGGGAAAGTGGAATTTTTTCTTTGAATAATCAAGATATTGGAATAATTCAAAGAAAAAATATATGAGAAAGTATGAGTTCACATTTTAGGGAATTTAGGCTATTGAGCCAGAATTCCAACAGAAAACAGGCTGCAGGAGAAGTTTAACTTAGGTATGTGACGGAGGAACAACATGGAGATGCTTCTGGCCAAGAAGTCCTCAATTCTGATCTCTTCTTTGCTTCTTTTTGTTACGCATTATGGGGTTGGCAGCACTCTGGTACTTGGGATCAGTGTACTGGAACTGCTGTTTCTCTCATGGTCAACAAGCCTTTAATTGTAGTTGTTTCAGCCAGTTAGTGTCTTGCTGGAATGCAAATCTAGGTCTGGAATATTTTCTTTTCTGAATGTTTGCTCTTTTAATTTGAAGAGACTAACAGTACTCAAGACTTTTTTTTTCCCCTCAGGTTTTCAGATGCAAGCATTTGATCTCTTCCTTGCATTTCTTCATCGCTGTGCACATGGGTGTTATTTGTTGACATTAAGCAATTCACAGTGGTCTGTTTGTCTCTGAAACAACAGTTGTACTCTTCTGTTCTGACTATAGAAGATTTCTAATCCTTGAGTGGAGTGTTAGATGTTACCACAATGTGAGTGGTACAGTAATTGGTAAGGATTCTTCAGTCTTAGTTATGCATAAATGCATATTTGCAGGCTAATTTTAACAGTTCTTAGGCTTCCCTGAGGAATATCTTCTATGTATTCCTGCAACTTGGCTACAGGTAGAGAATCTTCTGGCTCTTCGAAGTTGCCGTTCTGGTAGTCTATCTGTGAGAAATGGAAGTAACACTTAAGGGGTGGCTTAAGAGGAGAGTAGTTGAGCTGTTGAGTAAGGAGCACAGCTTTAAAAGACGCAGAAAGAATAGAGGAAGATGGACACTTTATGTTACTGTGAGGCAGATAGTGTGCTCAGTTCCTTAACAGACAAACATAGGGTGAAGTGTTTTCTCAGCTATAGCCAGCCTGATAAAATGGAGGTTACCCTGTAGCATATGTGGTGTTTACCTGACACTGGCACAACCTACAAACCAAAACATGTCAAGTCCCTCTGGAGTGATTGGTAATAATGGGGGAAAATTACTTGAAGAAAGGGGTGAAAGTGTTCTCACAGAAATCAGTACAGTGAATAAAAACATCTTAATGGGGTCTTGAGTTCCCAATACTGCTTCTTATTGACAGAGGTTTTAAATTGCACGTGTTTCTTTCTCTTCACTTCCTTCTTATCGTATATACAGTAAGGTAGGAGGGAGAGTTATGGGGGTGAGTGAAGGTTGGCTCAGGACTGATGGACGGAGTGTGGAGCAGGTGACACAGGTGTTGACTACTGCATGATTCAGGAGATGCACTGCAGTACCTTGCATTCTTTGAGAGACTGTGGTTCTTTTTTCTTCCCTGCTCTGTAAGGAAATCTATGCTTCAATTACTTTTTTCTGTGTTTCTCTCCCTTCTGCCCTCGTGTTTTATATCTTTTTCTTACCTGGTCAAACAGCAAAAAGTGATCATAGAATCATAGGCAGGGACACTTCCACTAGGCCTGGTTGCTCCAAGCCCCCTCCAACCAGCCTTGAACTCTGCCAGGGATGGGGCAGCCACAGCTTCTCTGGGCACCCTGTGCCAGTACCTCAGCACCTTCATAGTGAAGAATTTCTTCCTAATGTCTATTCTAAATCTGCCCTCTGTCAGTTTAACATGACTTAATATTGTGTAATCTTTGTGGTGTTATTGGCCAGGTACCTTTTTTGTGAGTATGGTATGAGACCATATTCTAAATGGTAATAGAGAAATTTGTGGGAATTACCATCTGCACAGTGTGGTAAAGTGTCTCCAGCCTGCAGTTAAAGATGCTGAGTTAGCTGAGAGTATCCCAAGGTCAGCTGAGAGATAGGTGGCAAACCTGTGGTCTAGACTGAGATTACTTGCTCTGTCTGTGATGCTTATTGCAACTGCTGTTGTTTCTTAGAGCTAGTCAGGTTGGGAAGGATGAAAGCATTGTCATTTCCTAACAGTTATCTTGCATAAGATAGAATAAGTATCTTGGTTCATATACTCTACCTTATTTTGTGTGTGTGATGCGAGTGCACAAACCTACAGAGGTCAGAACACTTTGTGAGGATACTGTGCTTCACATTGGTCTACTACCTGTTTAAGTTTGTGTCATTCTGGTGTTGCTTGCTATGCTTTTATTGGATCTTTCTTCAGATTAGTCTTTAAAAGCTGTATGAGTGTCTGTGGAAGGCCCTTGTGAAAATTGTTGAATTGCTAGGTATTCTGCAATGTTAAGTACAAGGCTTTCCAGCTTTGAAAGGTTTATTCATGTAATATGCTCTGAATAGCTTACCTGGGCAGATAGCTTTATTCTTTATTTGGGGATGGAAATGGGGGAGGATGATGGGTGAGTGTCATAAAAGCAGTGTTTCGATTACCAGTGAGAAACATATCTTACAGGGGGGGAATCAAGTGTAAGTCACTGTTTTCTGTTTTTTGTCAGGTGCTAGTCGTGTAAAGCCATTGGATGGTGTGAAAATTCTTGATTTAACAAGGTTTGTGTTTTGTTTGTAATTTGGAGTAGTCTGTTTAGATGCAAATACTGTGATAGGAAAAATTAAGGAAATTATAATTTTTTCTGTTATTACAGGGTGCTTGCAGGGCCTTTTGCCACAATGAATTTAGGAGATCTGGGGGCTGAAGTCATCAAAGTGGAAAGACCAGGTAAGATTTTTATTTCTCTATTTTAGATACAAGAAGAATATGGGGTAGCTTAGTTACCCCACATAATAAGAATTTAGGGTAGGTTTGCTTATACCTATATGATCTGTTCGCTTTAAGTTTAACACTGTGCTCTGTGTATATGTATTTTGATTGGAAGTAGCCTGTGTGTACATTTAGAAGAGTGAGAAGGTCAAAGCTATAAGGTCAGGTAACTTTTTCAATTATTAATGAATAAAACATTACTGAGTCGCCACTTAAAATGCCTTATTCTATCACTTTAAATTTATTTTGAGTTGTTTAGACTTTTCTTAGATTTTAAATTTGCATGGGTTGGGCATGCTTAGATGTGTGGTGATTTTTGTGATGTGGTGAGAAGGTTAAAATGGTTTTAACTGTAGTGTTTGATACATAACATTTGATAAACTTGTAAAACCTTGCAGCAATTAGTTATGTGAGAATTATGGGCAAGGTGTTTTTCCATTTTCAGCTTCATGATTAAAGGGAAGAAAGGTCTTTTCCAACCTAATTGATTCTGTTGAGCATTTAAAATATGTATGTTGTTTGTTAGCAGTGCATTTATGTAATATACAGACATAGTGGGACTGGCAAGCGTTTGACTGGTAGACTATAAGATGGCCTTTTCTTGAGAAGGATTTTAATATATTGCTAAAGTTTCAGATAACAAAGTAAACAGAGTTGTTTTCTGCATGAGGTAGTTGTATCTTTGAAGTCCAAGGTCTAATAATTCCTTGCATAGGTGGAATTAATTGGAAAAGGGAGATTCCTGCATTTGCATAAAAAGTTTTCATGCTAGTGCTGAAAGTGAGATTAATGAGCTTTGGGTGTGTGCTTTCAGATGCAGAAACTTGTGTAGCTCCTTCTAAGTCTCATAGTATTTATTGTGTTTTTCTGTATTTTTAGCTTAACTAAATGGTTTTCTTGTTCCCCTCAGCACATGCACTTCTTACTCAAAGAGCTGCTGTGGATTGGTTAATGGTAAAAAATGCTTTAATCTTGTGAAATAGCTACACTTCTTAATTTGTATGACTATACAAGAATAACAACAAATTGCAAGTCATTCGGCTCCTTTTTAGAAACATTCCCTGTGTTTGGCTTTGTTTTATGCATCATTATGCATTTGTGCAGCTGCTATGGCATAATTACATGCCTCATTATGTCATGTATTTTTTCCTCCTTTAAATTTCCATGTTTTTAAGTTTCTTTTTGTGGTATTAATTTTGAAGGGAGCTGGTGAAGATAATTGCACACTTGAGATAGTAAAACATATTACATTTCCTGTATTTTAAATAGCAAAAGCTGAATGTTTGAACATTTAACAAAACATTGAATGTCTAACAAATTGTCACATCAACCTATGGGCTATCCTTAATCACTCACTGTTGCTTCAAGTATTTTTCACTTTCCTGATAGGGCAGAAGCTGCATCCATTTTGTACTAGTCAGATTAGACTGTGGTCTTATTCCAGGTATTGAGGTAGTAGGAATGGAGCTGTGTCAATGATTAAATATGAAGTATCAGTTTTGGACACTTGCATTCCAGCTCTTAGTTTTGTTTTGTAATTGAAGATGAGGGTCAGCCTGAGAATTCTGAATTTCAAATGTTTTATAATGTGAGTAATCAACTTTTTCTGTGAGAGGGTGTCTACATCACAGGGGTGTTAATACTTAAGGGATAGTAGCCACATTAGTGTCCTACATGGAAAGTATTACTGAAATGTTCTTTTGAATGGCTTGAAAGGGTAACATGCTGTCCTGCTTGAACCAAAATAATTCTTTGAGATACTGAACAGTACAGAAGTTGATAAGGGATTTATATGTTTGCATAACTTCTGCCACATTTGATTTTTTAAATGGCTGTAGATTTTATGTTATCAGAGCCATTGTCATGTAGCATACTATCTTGTGTAAGAAGTCTTTCAGCTTATTTCTGGATCTGCTAGTACCAGTCTTCTTTTTTGCCTTGCTAAGGAAAGTATTCACTCAGGTGAAGTATATGAAGTCTAGATACTGAAATAGATGTAGGGATGTACATGCTTGCTAGCACTTGGGATGATGATTATATTGGCACTTAAATTTAGCTTTAATTCTAATAGATTGCCAGCCTTTGTGATAATTAGCAAAGATTTAAAATTGGAAATTAAACATGAATTATGCAGTGACATCAGTGTCTGCAGCAGCTTTAATGCCATCTTGCCTTGTAAGGTGGGAGAGTTTCTGGAAGGGCTGGAGGTGGAGGATTGCACCAGCAGTAGATTTTGCTTCTTGTTGGTGTTTGGCAGCATGCAGCTTAACAAGTTGGTGCTGATCAGTGGTATGTTTATGCTGTGTCTTGGGTGTTTCAGGAATAGCTTATTGACCATGTGCACTGTGTGACTCAGTGCAGGGTGAAAGCTTCAACTAAATTATTCCAGATGGTCTAAAATTATGGTGTTGTATCTCTGCTTTAAGTTACAAAAAATAAAAAAAAGAAGCAAACAAATCCCCCAAAAACCAAACCTCCAAACCAACCCACAAAAAAACAACCAAAAACCTGCAAATACATTAGGGGTGTGGGGCTACATATTATTTTAAAGCTTAATAGTAATTCCAGCACTAGCAACCACTGTGTCCACTTTGCTTAATTACCTTCACTTTTAGGGTTTCTTTTTTTTAAACATAAAACCCCTAAAATCTATGTGTTAAACTGATTTTTGTCCTGCTTACTGTGTGAAGCTTAAGTGGTGAAATATGACATTGGGAGGAAACTTCTTACTCTTGTTTGTTGTCAGTGTGATATTGGCCAACTAAGAAAATGTGATGGTATTTCTTTCAGGAGCTGGTGATGATACAAGAGCCTGGGGCCCACCTTTTATTGGAACTGAAAGTGTTTATTTTCTCAGTGTCAATAGAAATAAGAAGGTAAGTGGAGTGCAGTGTTGAACCATAAGCCTATGGTTTGGTTTTTTTATTACAACTGAAGATGTAACACTTCTCCATAATGGAGCAATAGCTAGATTGGCTTTAAGTTATGATGAGTCAGTTTCAGAATAAAACCAAACAGTTGGGAACAGAAAAGGCTGAAAACCTCTGGTATGCTGCTGTAGTCAGCTGAGGCAACCTCAGAAAGAGAAGTGGGCCTGCCAGTCCTCAGATACTGGTGTGAACTGACTGAAAATGAGCCTTGCTGCAGGTAAGGGTTATTTTGCTTGAAAGATACATGTTTTTCAGGTCCATCAGCTCAGCTGACCTGTGTCAGCTGCAGCTGGAGGAGTGTAGGCATAATGCCACAGTTGGGTTGGCTTAAGGGTAGCTTGTGAAACTTGAGGGTTAAGATGAAGCATTGTGACATGCCTGCGCTGTTTAATGGCTTTTTGCAATTGAAACAAATGTTTCTGTTATCCCCATGTGTCGCCTGCGCTGTTTAATGGCTTTTTGCAATTGAAACAAATGTTTCTGTTATCCCCATGTGTCCTTGCAGTAGTAGGTGCTGTGCAAACATACAATGAACAGATTGCACATCTGTCACCCTTGTTTTGGTGCTTGTCTGATCCATTGGTGACACAGTTCAGCTTGATTTACCAACAGATTGTTTTTTGGTGGGGGAGGTAGTGTGTATGTTAAAATTCACTTATTTGATTTAGCTGTAATGTGAAACTTGACTGTTGGTTATGTTTAGAAGAGGCTGATAATTACCAGAAGGGCTTTCACATAAATTACTGTTGTATTTTTATCCGCAGAGTATAGCTATTAACATGAAGGATTCAAAAGGAGCAAAGCTAATCAGAGAGGTAGGTTTTGATATCAAACTCTGCCTGTTTTGTATTGTTTTGATCCTGAGTAATAAAGAATAAACTTTGCATTTCAAGTGTTAGTTTAATACCTGATAATTAAAACCAGGTATGTCTGCAGTAAATTCATTAAATTACAATACATAGCCTCTGTACTCTCTGCTTTTGGACTTTGTGTTCAGTTTAATTTCTAATGATTTGAGATACAAAATTTACATGGAAATGTCATGAGAAGCTTCAAAAAAAAATACTGTGAGGAAAAGGTCTAACAGCCTAGTGCTTTCCTTTTACTGTATTAGATCTTGCTGTTCTACTTGATTAGAAAGATTCAAGCCAGACTGATCTGATGAAATCAGTGAGCAGCTTACAAAGAGGAGACATTGGGCTTCTGTGTTTGCAGGGTTTTGAATGTCCCAGTGTACTCATGACTTCAGTTGCTGTGCATCTGTCTGAGAAATACTGTCCTGTAGGTCAGGCTTAGTATCTGGGTGGTTTTTTCAGTATTTGAGTTCAGAATGCAAGGTCTTCTAAGGGTGATCCATTTTTTCCATTAAAAAAACCCCCAAACCCTAAAAAAAAATCACATTTCACTTTCTGTGAGACCTTTGTCATCTCTTTCTTATTTCTTGAGAAACATAAGATCTGCTACTTACTAGTGGTGTGTTTTTAGCTGTGCAGTACTACTAACACATCAAAGAAGGTGAGCTGGCTTCTATTCGCTCATTCTGTTAAGCTTCTGTTAAGTTGGCTGTTTCAGTATCAGTTCAAATTGTTTTTTCCACAGACTGTATGTGTCCTGCAATACGAATAACTTGCCTACTAGCATTTTTTGTTGGGAATATTGCATGAAAATGAAATAGATAAAGTATTCTGATATTTTTGTCCTTTTTTTCTACCCTGTCAGCTATATTTAAGATGCTTTATATGGAAGCACTTTGAGTTTATAAGCCAAAGATTCTGTGATGCTTTTTCTCTTTGCAGAACAGAGCCATTTATTACTGATTTGATAGGAAGCTGTGTGTTTATCTTAAGGTTTTGGAAACAAACACTGTTTGGAATAAATTTGTATGGTATGAGACAGATATGGTTTTGAATAAACTAGTCACATTCTAAATAAGGACTTTTAAAATTGTTTGCCTTGCATAAGAAGACTAGCTTGTTATTTGACCTTTAAAAATGGTGAAAGAAAAACTGTTGTATATAAAATGTCCATGTGTGGGCTGGAAGTTCCCCATTTCTCATCTTGATATTTGTGCAGAAAGATTACTGCTTGATTTTGCTTTTAAATGTATAGCTTCCTGCCTTTAATATGGAGAACCTTTTTATGGCTTGTAGAGTTTAATGGCTGATGATTTAAGAATCTGAGATATAACCTTTGTGCTTGAGGCTCAGATACCTGGGTTATTTCAAATGTCACGTAATTCTTCAAGCAGCAAGTTTCTTCTCCCTCACTTGTCATGCAAGGGCAGCATCTTCTCTGTCAGCTCAGTCCCAGGCTTCACAGCCTTTTCCTACTGGTAAGATCTCTTGTAACAATGTAAACCTAGAGCTAGCATGATGCTGAATATAGGATAGTTGGCAGTAAGTGTACAGACAAATGGTTTCAGCAATATTATTCCCTTACAGTTGTATCACTGAAATAGTCAAGAATGTGTGAGAGTTACTTCCTAAGATGTGGTGTTATGGAATTGCCAGTGAGAGAATGAACTCTGTTAAATGTTTACCACAGTAGCTGTGGAAATGAGATCCTGTGACAAAGTAATTTCTTACTGTAGCTATACTGTAAGAAATCCTATTTATCATGACAGATGTGTATAGAACTAATGTGTATAGAACTAAGCGTTGTTCAGCAATGTATCTGTTACTATGACAAGTAGTGTTCATGTCTGTAAAGTACCTGATGACAAGAAGAAATTTGAGTTTGTGACACTGCTTACTCATACATAAATGCGAGTTGTCCCTAGTCTAAGCCCTATAATGAAAAGTATTAAAGTTGTAATTTGTGTTTTTTATTAAGAAAGCTTGCATGGCTAGAATAAATTTTGTTTCCCCTGTCATAAATTCTGTCTAGGTAGAAGAGGGAAAATCTCAGAATCTAGAATTATATTCAAAATCAAAGGAAAAGAGAATCTTCAGGTATATGACAAAAGCATGGCCTGGTAGTATCAGTAGTATCAAGTCAGCTGAAGAAATCTGTTAATCAGAAGTCCTGGCTGCTTTTCTTCCTTTGGCACAGCACTACAAAATACTTGTCCAAGGGTCTGCTCTTTCTGAATTACATGACTTCCACAAAATTATCCTTTGGTCTTTTATGTTTATTCTTTGTCATTTGTAGCCCTGCCTTCCTTCCTAGTGCTTTTGCCTCACTGTTGAATGCCTTCCAAATATTTGTGTTTTTTCCTGAATGACAATTATTTTTTCTCTTCAGTGCTGGAATGTGCGCCAATCCCATGCTCTGACTTCCTTCTGTTGTAATGTGGCTCATTACTGATCTCTCTAGAGCATTACTCAGCAGTTATTATCAGAAGCTCATTTAAATAACCTTGAGGATACCTTTCTTCTGAGTATTTAGCCTTAACTAATTAACTTTCCTACTTATTCATGAATGACTTGGGAGGGTTCAATTGACAGGGAACTGATGGCACTCCTTCCTTTCCACTGCCTTTAGCTGATAGGTCAGTGTGTATCATGTATGCTCTCTCACTCAATAAAGCAAACTGTTGACACTCATCAGTATGTATGCACATTCTCTTCTGTGTGGAGTTTTTGTAAAAATAATACAAATAACCCACTTTACCTTGCCCCCAAAACCCAGGCAAAAATTCCAAAGAGAACTGATAGTTTGCTTTATCAAGTTGATAGCATCATTATTTGTCACTGTAGTTTGGCTCTAGTGTAGAGAAAGCATGAAGAATAAAGATGCATTTTTGCTCCCTCCTTTTCCTCAAGCTACGTGCAGGTATAGAGGTGACTATTCTTCTGTAAACTGTTGTCAAGTCTTGCAAAATTGATGTGATGCTGATAATATAATCATAGGTTTCTCTAGTCACTTTAGGATTTTGACAGGCATCTTCCTAGATATATAGCATCTCTAATATGTAGTTTGTGGAGAAGCACAGTTCAACAAGCTACAAAATATCTCTAGGTTTGTAAGTTCTTTCTAGTCAGAAAGACTGGAGCCGCTCTGTTTAGCAAGATTTTGAAATGAAGTTACATGAGGAATTTACTGGACTTGTAGAAGCTCATTAACAAATCTCATTCTTTTGTTTTCTACAGCTTGCAGCAGTGTCTGATGTTTTTGTGGAAAACTACGTCCCAGGGAAACTGGCTGAAATAGGGCTAGGTTATGAAGACATTCAAAAGATTGCTCCTCACATAGTGTACTGCTCAATAACAGGTATTTTGATTTCCATTGTGTTCATTATTTCCTTTATTCTAGTCAACTTGTTACAAAAGTCATACATGTTGCAATTTTCCAATCTGTTAATCTCTGTTCTTTACTGCTCTGAAGCACATCTCTCTTTGGAATTGTGCAGTTCTGTGTTCATTGTTGTTTTATGCTACTTTGCTGCAGTTTATTGCTTGGTAATTGAAATGGTAGAAGCATTGGGAATGCTGGGAAGAAAGAAAACATACTGGACATATGAGTATCTGTAACTACATGCATGTAAAAACTAAGTCTGAAAAAATCATTTAACCCCACCAATAAACACCCTCTGTAGGATCTTGATCAAGCACAAAAATTACAGGATCTGTGCCTGTAGAGTCTGCTATTAAAGGACAATTAAGTTAAAGAAGTTACAGATATTTTAGGCTGGTTTAAAATCTTAATTACAAATCTGTTATGCCTCTGAATTTCTGAGGAACAAATGGCTTTGGCTCTTCAGTTGCTGGGTTTTGATATCATTTAATACAAATCAAATAGTTTTCTAGTCTGCTGTGATGTTTTTTATCATGTTCGTGTGGCAAATGTCTGAAGAAGACAAGAGTAGGAAGGCAATTGCCTTCAGGGCTTCCTGAGAATCTTTGTTTAAATACATTTTGAGGCTTGTCAGTGGCTAGTGACCATGATGTTTTCACATTTGTGCATGTAATCTCAACTGTAACTTGTCAAGTGATTTTCTTTGTATTTTTGTGTAGTTGCTGTACACGTAAATGATTGGAAAAAGACTAAAAAATACATCCAAACTACAATATGTGAGGTAATTTGGCCTTTTGATTAGATCAATCTGTTGTTCAGTTCATGCTACATGAATACTTTCGAGTGCTTTTATATTTTATTGGTAATAGACAAAAACCTTACTTCCAGTGAGGGCCTAAGGAAATGTACTACTTAATTTCAGAGAACTGTAGAATTGTTTAGGTGAAAGGACCTCTTGAGACCATCTTGTCTAACCTCTCTGGTCAGGCATGGCCAGCTACAGCAGGTTTCCCAAGACTCTGTTCAGCTGGGTTTTGAGTATTTCCACAGCTGCTCTGGACAACCTGTTCCAGTGTCTGATCACCCTCACAGTAATAAATTTTTCCCATGTACAGGAAAACTTGCCTATTGCTCCTTGTCATGTCAGTGGATGCTGTTGAGAAGGATCTGGCTTCTTCTTGCTCATTCTCTCCCAGTGGATATTTATATACATTGCTAAGATTCCCCAGAGTTTTCTCTTATTTAGGATGAAGAGTTTCATCCATCTTGTCCTCTCAACATGTGTCGAATGCTCCAGTCTCTTATTTATCTTCATGAATCTGTGCCAAACTGGCTCCACACTTTTCCTAATGCATCACAAAATAGTGTTGGCCTCCTTTGCTGCAAGGATGAATACTTTTGCATGTTCTGTAGAAGTGCTCCCTAACCTCTTACCCTGAGACTAAGTCTTCCTTGCTGGAGCCTTTCCCTCTAGTCTCAGGGACCTAGGATTCCCGAGAGCAGTCTTTCACAGTAAAAAGTGAGGCAAAGAAGGTATTAAATACATTGGCTTTCTCCCTGTCCATTGTCACCAGTTCCCCTGTCCAATTCTGGGGTAGGTCCATGTCTTCCCTAGTGGTCTTTCTGCAGCAGATTTGCTTGCAGAATAAATTTTTTTTGTTGTTGTTTTGTTTTTCCATTGCAGATGAGGCTAGACAAACAGAGATTGGTAAAGGCATTAAAACATCTCTATGGTATGTACACTGCTTATTATGGGCAAGTCTAGGGAGTTTACATACTTGAGGTGTTTTCTGCAAGGGATCAATTTTAGGAACTTTGTTAATCTGGATACTCGATATAAAAGGCTTTTTGAACAAATTGGTAAATGAATATTTGTAAATCACCCATAGGAATTAATTCACTTTTATTTTCTGAAGCAAACTCTGGACCTAATTGACATCAATTTGCTTTTGCAAGGCATCTCTCTCCCATCTTGCTTGCTATTCATGATGTTCAAGCGCTTTTCTTTTTCTTCTGGGTTCTTGAATATGGATACCTATCAAAGATAGTGGGAGTCTGGGTGCATAAATCATCTGTAAGCAGTGTCGGGGGTGATTTAATGCTGGGCATTGCAATGTTTTGCCCAAGAAACAAGTGTATGTAAGTTGAGACATCTGAATTGGTTGCCTGTTGTTTGTTTTTTTTGTTTTTTTTTTTTTGAGAGATTGGTGCAGAAAGCAGGTGACTGCTTTCTGAAAGGCCATCAAGAAATAGTTGGGGCAGGAGATATAGAATCATAGAATAGTTATGGTTGGAGAGGACCTTAAGATCATCTAGTTCCAACCCCCCTGCCATGGACAGGGACACCTCACACTAAACCATGTCGCCAAAGGCTCTGTCCAGCCTGGCCTTGAGCACCACTAGGAATGGAGTATTCACAACTTCCTTGGGCAACCCATTCCAGTGCCTCACCAACCTCACAGTAAAGAACTTCTTCCTTATATCCAATCTAAACTTCCTCTGTTTGTTTTAACCCATTATCCTATCACTACACTCTGTACTGTACACAATACTCCAAGTGAGGTCTAATGAGATCAGAGTAGAGGGGCAGAATCACCTCCTGTGACCTGCTGGTCACGCTCCTTTTGATGCAGCCCAGGATATGGTTGGCTTTCTGGGCTGCAAGCACACACTGAAGCTGGCTTATGTTCATTTTCTCATTGACCAATACCCGCAAGTCCTTCTCCGCAGGGCTGCTCTGAATCTCTTCTCTGCCCAGCCTGTAGCTGTGTCTGGGATTGCTCCGACCCAGGTGTTGGACCTTGCACTTGGCATGGTTAAACTTCATGAGGCTGGCATCAGCCCAGCTCACGAGCGTGTCAAGGTCCCTCTGGATGGCATTCCTTCCCTTCAGCGTATCAACCGAACCACACAGCTTGGTGTCATCGGCAAACTTGCTGAGGGCGCACTAAATCCCACTGTCTATGTCAGTGACAAAGATGTTGAACGAGACCGGTCCCAACACCGCTCCCTGAGGGACACCACTCGTTACTGGTCTCCAGCTGGATGTTGAGGTGTTGACCACAACTGTTTGTGTGTGGCCATCCAGCCAGGTCTGTATCGTTTTTAGAGACAAGGATGTTGTGTGGGGCAGTGTTGAACGCTTTACACAAGTCCAGGTAGATGATGTCAACTGCTCTACCCCTGTCCATCAGTTCTGTAGCCCCATCATAGAAGGCCACCAAATTGGTCAGGCAGGATTTCCCCTTAGTGAAGCCATGTTGGCTGTCACCACGCACCTTGTTGTTTTTCACGTGCCTTAGCATGGATTCCAAGAGAATCTGCTCCAAGGTTTTGCCAGGCACAGAGGTGAGACTGACTGGTCTGTAATTCCCCGGGTCATCCATTTTCCCCTTCTTGAAAATGGGGTTATATTTCCCTTTTTCCAGTCATCGGGACCTTCACCTGACTGCCATGATTTTTCAAATGTGATGGACAGCGGCTTAGCAACTTCATTCTCCAGCTCCTTCAGGACCTGTGGATGGGTTTCATCAGGTCCCATGGACTTGTGTACGTTCAGGTTCTTAAGATAGTCTCGAACCAGATCCTCTTCTACAGTGGGCCCAAGGTCTTCATTCTCACAGTCCCTGTGTCTGCCTTCCAGCACTAGGGTGGTGTGGTCAGAGCATTTGCCAGTGAAGACTGAGGCAATGAAGTCATTTAGAACCTCAGCCTTCTCCAAATCCAAAGCTATGGTTATGACAATGTAGGTCAGGATTGATAATGAAGTGGAATGAACTGAGACACACTGAATGCAGTAGGTTTCTGTGAGCTCAAATGTAGTATTTCAAATAGAGATTGGGAGCATGATCTAAGGTTTTTTGGTAATGCCATAGAAAGTTAAGTGTATATAAAATGCCTGCCTGGAGGTATGGAAACTGCACATTAAGGAAGATGTAAAGGATGTGGTGGCCTAGAACCTTGAATTGACTAGTTATCTTCCAAAATGTTGAAAATCATTGAGGCAAATTATCTTGGTTGCAACAACCCTTTTTGCACCTAAACTGTGGGTTTTCAGCCATTGTTTGGCATCCTGCATACAGGCTGTACAAGAGATAATAGAAATATGTTGGTTCTCAAGCTCTTTCTGATTTGGGAGTTCTGTTGAAGTTAATGAATACACAGTATAACATGAATTATGTTCTGAGGTCTTTGAATAGAGCGTTGGAATGGTTTATACTGTTTAGCTTGGCCAGTTTTAAGTATGCTTTTTAAGGGTGTATTTTATGTATCATAACTGACAGACAAAATTATGTTGGTTGTGTTAATGAATATCATGTAGTATGTGTTACATCTTAGATGTGAGAATATATACAGACAATTTGGCATAACATTTGATAATAAGTAGCCAAGAAATAAACATGTCCAATGTGTCAGAACTGGAGTGTTTTTCCAACTTGAATTTTTGTTCTTGTTAGTATACATGCTGAAGACATTATAGCTGATTCATTTAATAAATTACAAATAATTACTGGACACTACTTCCCTTATCCATTTACTTAACTCATTAATGAGGCTGGATATAATCTGGAATGTTTTGGGGTTTCATTTTTGGAACTGTATTACCTCTCAAGCTTAAACTTCATAGGTATGGAATGCAATCAATAAACAAGTCATTTGAAGGAATCAGTTTCATCCTCTAGCATAACTTGGATAGCAGCTGTGATCAAGATGTCTGTCTTGGCTTCTTTTTGTCTCATTCGGTTATTGAATGCAAGCATAAATCAAATTGGACATTAAAACTTTCTTAAATTTAGGGATCATCCAAATGAATGGTACTTTTCTGTACCTCTACACTGTGCTGTATTCCTTGTGCTATCCTAGAGGGAGCATGCTTGAATAGTTGTCATACTTACCGTTGTCATGGCTGTTACACTTTGGTGGAGGGGTGCTTTCACTTTTTAAAGACTTACTATCTCTTCTCGTTGGCCTGGGGA